CTCTCCTCACCTAAAGGAACCACGGGCCTGGAAGATTGTAGCTGTTAGGGTTAACCGTCCTAGCCGTAACACCTATAGAAGTTCAATTTGGTCCACATGTTGACGATTCCTCGTAATGTTGGCAATTACAATGTTCGACCATTATAAACTGTTGGGAATCTCCCGTGTTATGTGGTTTTGTGCCTTTTTATTCACAGTGAATAGAGGACGCTTTTGCTGAAAATTTTGAAATTATATTTTCAAAATAAAGCGTATCTCACTCACTTAAAACCTCATCGATAGCAAGAGTTGTGACACTAGGAAGAGTGTATGACTTGGCAATTATGGGGAAGGATTCCAAATCTGGCAGTCAAAGTTAAAACCGACGTTGAAAATAAGACGTGAAAATATAGAATGTGTTTAAATTAGGCTTCACTGTCCATGCGGAGATCAGACATTCTGGGAGCAAGCATTCTACGATCTAAGCTTTACCGCTTAGGTCTGGGTTGGCAAATTCCAGGATCAATGTCTTAATTTCTGCAGCGTCGAGGAGAACTGTGTCATTCCGTGAATTAGCTTTCTTGGTGAAAGCGTGCTTGATGCCTTCTGTCGGCCAGTGCAGCCGATTGGCCTCGGCTGCTTCCCGCTCCTGATTCGCCGTGAGCGTCATCTCGGTGACCTTGACCACCTGACCTAGCGAGAACTGGCCATTCAGATCGACGGTAGTAGAACGGTTCCCAATGTTCTCCAGGCGGACCAGTACTGAAGTGGATTTGGTATTCGCTAGCCTGGCCTTCATAATGCCTTCAATCGGCCACTGCATGAAAGTCAGGAGGTGAATTCCGATTGGTAGAGGACAGGCCAAAACAGAAAAGTGCTGTTTAGGCGACGCAGTGGTAGAGCCCAGGAACCAGGGTAGCGTTGGTCGTGAGACCTCCTGCGCCATCGTGGCATCCTCATCCTCCACAGTGCGCAGAGGTCCAAGTTTGAGGGTGTGTGTGCCCTTGACAATCAGTCCTAAAAAAAAGGGGGGGGGAAAAACTCAACGGTAACGCACTTGGTGTCTTTATGCGAAACTGACGAACAAAACATTGCTGTGCTATCGCGGAATCTGCATATTAAACACAACTTACCTTTAATTGATTTAGTACAAGTCCCAGTATATAATTACTACCGTTAATAAACATTTACAGTCGATGGAATATTCCAGTTACTGTCGGAGGCTGTTTGGCCTCCCTTCGTCTAACTGGAATTTTCCTTAAATTCTTGGTACAGTGGAGCCTCGAGCGACGAGCAGCCCAATCGACGAGCATTTCAGGTAACGAGTGAGTCACTATCAGAACCTTTCTTGTTTGAATAACTTCCGTTCAGTTAACGACTTCTCAGTGCTGTGTATGCCTGTATCCACCATTGAGTTTTGCTCCCAAGGCGTGGGTCCTCGGTTTCCTGCAGCCAATCGGTGAACCGATGCAATTTGATTGGCCACGAGCTTTTTCGTTTTGAAAGAAGAGCGTTTCAGATGACGAGCTCGGTGATGAAACGGATTAAACTTGTTAACCGAGGTGCCACTGTATTTGCAAACGAAGACTTTCGATACGGATAAGAGAGATAATTTTTAAAGGAGTGTAGTGACACACTGAGCTGCTCCTTTGTTTTACTTGGGTAAACATGCCTTGCATGAACTTGAAAACTTTTAAATAGGGCTTTGAACAAGCACGTGCCTTTATCTGCAAACGACTTTGTTCTTATTTACTGGTTCGTAAAAGTTGAGATACTCCTATCTCAGGTTCCTGGATAGACTGTTCCGTATCCCACAAGAGCTTGCTTTCTGCTAGCTATGCAACTGTAGGTCACTCGAAAATGCATAATACATACAGTAGGTAAGGATAAATAAGGCACTTCGACCACCGGAATCATGTTTTCTTTTTGTCTGAGCTTTCAACTACTTACTGGAGTCCATCGTCGTAATCGACATGCCTTTTTCTACTTTACTTTAACATGCATGTTCAAACATCAATTTCGATGAAGTCCACCAGGTGCATCAACAGGTTGGTACAGAAGGTGACGGCCTCAGAGGATAGCTTTAAAATGACAGCAGGCATAGTTAGCGCCAACCGCACTCTTCAACTTCGCCCGGAGTCTCGAAGACTAAACGGGGCCCGGCGTAGGCTGCTTTCTCCAATGCAAGCCGGAACACCGCCTAACAGAGTGTTGATTGACAGGAGACTTTGCGTGGGTATTACTGTACTATCTACCCTTACTCACCCCTAGTAGGTGTGAAGACATGCCCAAGAAGCCGTCACTGATATGGT